AATTACCTCCACATGTGTATGATATAATGACTTCTCCTCATATGGGACGAGGCTCAAATGATACACAAACATTGCTTTGAAGTTGTTCAAGCATCAACGCGTGTTAGTGTTATGTACTGAAAGCATAGCTTTGCATGTTATTACACATTTACCCTTTATGAATGAGAATCATGTTAGATTAAACAAGTTCTACGTTCTGTTGTTCTACACTTAGATAGGGTGGGTCGTCATCGGGCGAACCGAAGATCACTCTATCAGTCACTTGCGAACAAGAATAGTTGTTCACAACCTAGATGGACATGAACACCCCATCCGAACGGTTGTAGTGTCAACTGTACAGTTTGTCTTGACTGATTAGTTGCACTAGTACATTTATGTATTGAACAGGATCCCAGAGAGGAGAAGTTCATTTTATACTGATCGTCGTAAATGAACTAGGCCTCGGTTAATTACTGCGTTCTCTTAACCCGTAAGATATTAAACAGGCAGATATATATAATATATATTACTTTGATTCACATGGGTGAGGTTCAGTTCGCTGGATTAATATTCCTACTGTTTTGGGTAATATTATTATATATAGGATGTGCTGTTAGGATATTTACGGTCACCATGTGCGTTAGTTTGATGATGTCCCCGGAGTGAGTTCATGAAGGATTGTTATGCTAAACCCTGCAGGTGGATTAAGTTCCGGCATAATAAGAATGTGATGAACGAGCGCTAGCTTCGGTAAAATAATAATAAATTAATTAATTCTTGATTGTCAGTAATCGAATTAATTAATGGACATTATATCTTAAACGTGAGGAGGTAAATGAATTAATTAATGGACATTATATCTTAAACGTGGGGAGGTAAATCGAGTAATTATTATTGGAGTCTCAAATGTAATTTGGGCTAGGAAGAGGGAGTACAATAATATGATGTTGGTGGCCCATTAGTATTATTTAATTAATTAGAGGAGTGGGCTTGAACCACAGTTAGTCTAATTAATTAAGGAGCCATTTTCCTAATCTCCTAAGGGTCCCTACTGTAGCTCTATATATACATCATTAAGCTCATGAGAAGAGAACAAAATTGCCAGAACTCGTTCCTCTCTCTCTCTAGATCTCATTCGAGCTTTATCTTCTTCTTGTTGTTCCACTGGTACAAGTTGAAGATGGGTGTATTGAGTAATACAGTAGAAGATCTGCAGGTAAACCGAGACGAAATATATTTTGTCCTACAGAACTACCCGGAGGTTCGATTGAGACGCACAGCATACCCAGGCGACCGTCTCGACGAGGGCTTTCCATCACTGCTGAGATCGCCGGAATCCGACGTGGCATGCGCCCTCACGCGCCGTCGAAAGCTCCCAGGCTGCAAAGTTTCGTTTTGATCCGTTTGCATCTGTTTGATACGGTTTTGATCTGATCTTGTTCGAGCAACCCAAGACGTGATTTGCAGTCAATCAATTGCGGTCAACCGTTCGTGGTTAACCAGATCTACATAAATTTTAAGCCGTAAGTTCTCTACGTCAAACCTTTAGATCCGCTGCGCATAGATTTACGTTTGTTATTGAATTCGTGACTTGTACATGACGAGATCCTCACAGATCCCAACAATGCGGACTATCATGGGAGCAGTTAACCGTTCGAACAGTAACAAGCCCTTCGGAGGCAAGCCTGTTGTGTTTGGTAGAGACTTCCGACAGATCCTTCCAATCATTCCAAAGGGGAGCCGTCAGGACATTGTGAATGCAACTATTAATGCTTCTGTCATTTGGAGGGACTATTGTGCTGCGACTTACAAAAAACATGCGTCTTCAGAGCATTTCTAATTTAGACGAGCTTGACGAGCTAGCAACGTTTGCTGATGGGATTACGAGCATTAGAGATGGGATTGTAGGAGGATAAAACGACGGTTGTGCCTCAATTGACATACCAGAAGATGTAAGACTGGATCCCTCCGATGATCCATCTGCAACAATTGTGGAAAGTACATATCCAATGTTCAAGAATGCAACTGACAATCCAAGTTATTTGAAGGACATGGTTATATTAACGCCTACGTTGGATGTCGTTGAGTCTATCAATCAATACATGTCAGAGATGAATTATGTTGAAGGTCGTATGTATTTGAGATCTAACAGTACGTCTAAATTGGATTCCAGTTACAACTTCTTGGCAGATCTTCACACGCCCGTGTTTTTGAATAACATCAAGAAACACTGAACCATGAGTTGTATTTGAAGGGGGGAACTCTAGTCATGTTGTTTCAAAACATAGACTACTCTATGGGACTATGCAATGAGACACGATTGGTTGTGACCAAACTCTACTCATATGCTCGAATGCAAGATATTGACAGGAGATCACGCTGACGAGAATGTATTTTTTTTTTCAAACGAACAAATATTATTAATACCTCAACATTTACATGCGATAATCAATTGATTAAAAGGTCCTCCCTCTAACCAAACCGACTAGAGTACGAGTACAACGAGAGAGTCACAACACTACTCCCCCTCCAAAGCCATCAATGCTAAATTACAAGCCAAAACACTAACAACACAAGGAAAAGAAAAAGCACACAAATCAAAACAAGAACTAAGCATACTAATATCCATAGTTGTCAGAATCGGACCAGATCGGCCGGTTGAACCGGTTGGCATATCTGTCTGGTTCGAGGCATAAAACCGCCTGGGTCCAAAACCGAAAATGAACCGGTCAAACTGGTTGAAAACCGGGGCGGCTCACGCAGGTTAGCGGGTCAGCGGCTTTTCTTCAGAACTTCATTTGTTAGTGCAGTTGTTGTTGTTTATAAAGGTGATTGTTTTTTGGTGTGTTTCCAATGTGGGATAAGTAACTTACATGTGCTTTTTTTATACAAAACAAATAATCTCTGCTTATAAGCAACAACTTTCCTGTGGCCTAATGGCAGGAGTTGTGCTATGCATGCATTAGGTTGGTGGTTCAACTTGAACTTGAAGTCTTCCCTTTCATTATTTTTCTATTTTCATCTTTGTATGACTTATGCACCATTCTATTTTTTTCTTTTTTTTTCATTATTGTCTTTGTATGATTATTATGCACCATTCCAACATACATGTGTAGCAATTTAAAATTTTAATCATAATCAAAGCTCAAAATTGAATTTTATTTTCTTATTCTTTACATAATGAAAACTGAAAAAAGTAACAATTAAAATTCGATTTATAAATGCAAAATACAAATTACTAACTTGTAGTTGTAAGTTGTGTTGAGATTAGTATTTTTATGATAAAATATAAATAGGATATTAATTATTGAACTCTTATTTAGAAAATGTCATTATATACTATAAAATTAATGATAAAAATATATAACTATACATTATACATATAAAATAAGTAAAATAATTATATATTAATTAAAATGGTTCGACCGGTTCGACCACTGATCCGGCCACTGAACCATTGACCCGGTAGCTTAACCGGTTCGATGTCCGGTTCGGTTTTGACAACCTTGCTAATATTAGACCAACCTTTACGAAAATGTGTTGATTGCTAAAATGAATATAACTCATTTCGATCGTAGGGTTCCATTTAAATTCCAACGGCGGCTGTTCCCACTTATGGTTTCGCATGCCATGACTATAAACAGGAGTCATGGTCAGTCTTTATTACACGTTGGCCTGTTATTTAAGAAACCTATTTTAGTCACGACCAATTATATATCATCATTTCGCGTGTAATGAATAAAAAATAGTTTAAAATATTAATTTGTGGTACGACGAGTTGCATAGCAATCAAACTAATAATATTGTGTACAAGAAGATTTTTAATAATATATAATTTTTTATGGCGAACATTTTATGATTCGACAATTTTCCTATGCATTATTACTCCCAAATAAATACAGCACCTGCATCACACGAGTTAACACTAATTATATTGCATATATTGCATGTAAAAGGAAATAAATAGGTAAGTTTACCAAAACATCGATGCAACGACCTATGATTTGAAATTAGCAGACCCCTCACCTTTCTGCCATGTCTTCACACAAACACCACACACACAGAGAGAACAGAGGCCCTCAAATCCAATCTCCATTATTATTTTCACCATTTTTTCTTTCTTTCAAATTTTCACCATCGCCAGACAATGCGTGGATACGCATAGGCGACCAATATTTTATTCTCTCTCTTTCTTCTGTCCGGAGAAGAGAAAAAGGAGAAAAGTCGGCGGATGGGCTCGAGTATTAGTCGCCCCAGCTCTTCTCCTCGGGCTGGGCCCCACCGACGCCGTCGCCCGTCGATCAGGCGCACTCTCTCCTCTTTTCTCGTCTGTGGTGCCACCTCCTCATCTCGTGAGGTATTAAAATGGCGGTCGATTGATGAACTATAGGATTGTAATTGTATTTTTACTTTTCATACGTATGCTTTGAAGTTGTTCAAGCATCAATGCGGACTATCATGGGAGCAGTTAACCGTTCGAACAGTAACAAGCCCTTTGGAGGCAAGCCTGTTGTGTTTGGTAGAGACTTCCGACAGATCCTTCCAATCATTCTAAAGGGGAGTCGTCAGGACATTGTGAATGCAACTATTAATGGGTTGATTGTAGAATGAATATAACTCATTCCGATCTTAGGGTTCCATTTAAATTCCAACGACGGCAGTTCCCACTTATGGTTTCGCATGTCATGACTATAAACAAGAGTCATGGTCAGTCTTTATTGCACGTTGGTCTGTTATTGAAGAAACCTGTTTTAGTCACGACCAATTATATATTATCATTTCTCGTGTAATGAATAAAAAATAATTTAAAATATTAATTTGTGAAACGACGAGTTGCATAGCAATCAAACTAATAATATTGTGTAAAAGAAGATTTTTAATAATATATAATTTTTTGTGACGAACATTTTATGATTCGACAATTTTCTTATGCATTATTAGTCCCAAATAAATACAACACATGCTTCACACGAGTTAACACTAATTATATTGCATATATTGTATGAAAAAGGAAATAAATAGGTAAGTTTACCAAAACATCGATGCAACGACATATGATTTGAAATTAGCAGACCCCTCACCTTTCTGCCGTGTCTTCACACAAACACCACACACAGAGAGAGAACAGAGGCCCTCCAATCCAATCTCCATTATTATTTTCACCATTTTTTCTTTCTTTCAAATTTTCACCATCGCCAGACAATGCGTGGATACGCATAGGCGATCAATATTTTATTCTCTCTCTTTCTTCTGTCCGGAGAAGAGAAAAAGGAGAAAAGTCGACGGATGGGCTCGAGTATTAGCCGCCCCAGCTCTTCTCCTCGGGCTGGGCCCCACCGACGCCGTCGCCCGTCGATCAGGCGCACTCTCTCCTCTTTTCTCGTCTGTGGTGCCACCTCCTCATCTCGTGAGGTATGAAAATGGCGGTCGATTGATGAACTATAGGATTGTAATTGTATTTTTACTTTTCATACGTATGCTTTCAGTTTGCATCCTTTACCCCCCCACCCCGCCCCCCCTTATTGTCTCACTGAATATGTTATTTGATTAATCTCAATAACACGCCCTTTTTTGGCTTTGAGGGCTGCTATGTTCAATTTTTGAAGACGTGGATTTTGGACATATATGGCATCGATTTTCACTGTACATCAATTTCTTTGCATCTCATTGCCCATTGCTTTACTTGTGTCTGTGGGTGTGTTATGTTTCTTTCCATCTCAGTGTCCAATCCTTTTTGTTTGTGTTCATGCGCGAATAACACAACATAAACGAGCCCTCTCCAACACCCACCCACCCACACGTTGGCTCCTTTGGTAAACAAGAAAAATTATCAGTAAATTATGTTAGGTTCAATGAAAACAGAGACATGAGAATTACTTCTCTGTGAGGGAAATGGTCAGAATTTCAAGAGTAAAACCTCATGTTGACATTTGACGTATTTATGACACCATTAGTCTGGTTAGATGATCAGAGTTCTTACCTTTTTTCCTCCCTATATACTCAGCTGGTTTCACTTAAAGAATGTCCAAACTATAATGGAAGGTGCAGTAGATGAAATAGGTCATCTACAGATGTCATTTTTTGATCTTATCGGGAAGAAGGCTCAATGAGACTGAATAATAAAAAATTACAATATATGGAACATGGGGTTTTGCTTGTAGCAAAGTAATGCTTTTAACTGGGCCAAAAATTTAAGTGGTGATGGTTTTCACTACATCCAGTGATTCCTTCATATGATAAAAAGATGGTTGTATCTTGCCATAGAGTGCAATTCGTTTGAAGAAAGTTTCATGTCTGGCTGTTGAAAACAGAGTATGATTCTGGAATGGTGTGCCCTTCTTTGATGAGGCTATTATTTATTGTGTTAAACTCATAAATAAGTTATAGGGTGTGATTGTGCTTTCTGATTACGTTCATAAGGTATTACTTTTTATGTCTGAGGATATGCTGATATAGTGAAGTCTGCTGATCTAGTTAATATTTAGGCAGCCTTGAGTTCGTACATCACATTACTACATACAAAAAAGCCCGAATCCAAATATTGTGAATAGTTTAGGAGCAAACTTTGTCTTATCGTGTCTTTTATTTCGTGAAGTATGATGATCAACTTATTTGCATGACCTCTTTTCTGTTTTATACTATTAGAATGCACTGATGCATATGTCTACCTGATTTATGTCATTGCACGTCTTGTTTAAGTTTAATGTAGTTCCTAACCAGAATAGGTAATGTAGGTGTTAAATTCTTCCATTGTCATTTGATTCCTGTAGATGGAAGATTATCCAGCTGAATTGCTGGTACATACTGCTGAGCATGAATGTGGACAGAAGTTGAGATTCCAAAGAAAAAATTCTGATTTATCCCTGGGAAACAGGAATGATTTGATTACCATTAGAAGTGAAAATGTGGTCTCATCTAAAAGATATTTGGCTGCCCATGAGAATGATGCTCCAGAATGTGGTGTGAGAAATGTTGACTCTGCAAACAAAGGTAAATGTTTGTCTGAAAGTAGAGAGTTGATTCTTCCATACCAATCCACCACCAGTTCCAGAGTTTACGAAAATGCAAGCACTTCGTACGTAGATCAGCCGCCGTCTTCTTCTCGTGTTTCTGCAAACAGTTGCAACATGAATAGGTTTCCATTTCAAGTTGGTGATAAACTCAAAATTTCAAGCAGCATATGTCAAGGTCACAGGGAACTTTCATTGGACGAAACTTCTGTTGGAAATAATGCCCTTGAAGAAGTTGATTGCTCTAATTCTGATTTTTGTACTTCTTCTGTTGTTACCGGTTCACCTGTTGACTTCTGTGTGCTGAGGGATGATACCCTTCAGGACGTAACAACTTCAGGTTTAGGGTTTCTGGTGTCGGACATGGAACAAAGCAGACAAGACCGGAGTTTACTGCATGTTGATGTGGTGAGTATATCCTCAAATATATTACAGTCTAGTTCTGCTGAAACAAGCAGTCGGGAAGCGAGAAGGAATAGCAGGAGGTTATTTTGGGATGCTTTCGCAAGGCGCAATTCTAGGGGTCATACAAATTCCAGAACATTTTCGTTCTCATCAGCAGATTCTGATAATGTGAGACCTCATGACAGATGCCTCCTTGATTTAAGTGGTGGTTCCATTAATGATGAAGTTGGTGGAGATTTTAGTCCTCATGATAGTAGAACTCCAAGCAGTAATGAGCAAAGATGGAATTCGAGATCTGAGGTACAGATATCTTCTTCTTCTTCTTAATGGGTCTTATTGTTTTAAATTTTAGGCTGTTCTTTTCTTAAATGCTTATGGGTCTTATTGTTATTCTCTTTATTATTTTTTCTTTTTCAACATTATGCTTGTTTATCCACCATATATCCAAATGAAGGTATGCATGTAAGCACGCATGTGTTTTGGAAAAAAGGTTCAGCTTTGTTAATGACTTATCTCCTTGCGTCCCAGTTCATTTCTTTCCTTGAAAGAGCTCATTTGAGTCATTTCTTACTTGGAAAGCTCCGTAAATTCTGCTCAAGGCATAGGACATATGAATATGTTGTAATTTTGCTTAAATCTGCATTCTGCCTGGTACTTACAAATTGCACAATCAACCCAGATTTGGGAAAGACTTGGTGGAGGTCATGATTCAACCGACCATTCAACTGCAGCCTGCCCGAGAGGTATCCATACTGGTGGCTCATGCTCGTGCCCTTCCAGTTCGTCAGCAGAGGAGCCTGGAACACGTGCCGGCATTTCTCGGATAGTCATGCTTGCTGAAGCATTATTCGAGGTATTATTCTTGTTACTCAACTAGTACGGGAAAATAATAATTAATCATATAAATTAAAGCAGTGAAGCAATGATTAGTTAAAATTAGTTTTATATATTATTAATTTTTTATGATATATAATAGTTTTATTTATGATTTATATTTATATTTGACCCGTTATAAAATAATTGTCATTCTTCTATCTCTATTTCCTTACTCATACTTATTAGAATATATTATTTTGATTTCTAAGTAAGTGACGAAAAAGTTAAAAAATTATGATAAATAAATAAAATGACACTTAATTTAAAAAGAATGTACTGTACTAGTGCGTGGCCCGTGCGATGCACGGGAAAACAATATTACGATTATATTATAAATTAAATATATAAATAATATTAATTATGATTTATCCATTATTTTTAAATTAAACCGGGTTGGACACAGTCCGACCGAATGGACAGAGAACCGGTTTATAACCAGTCTAGTTCGCTTGAATAAAAATATTTGCTCTCGAATCCGTCAACACCAGTCGGTTGGACTGGTAGGATCGATACGATTTTCTAAATAAATTTTGTTATATTTAAAATTATTTTAAATAAAATTACATATTTAAATAAAATAGAGATTTATAAATTATTTATCAATTAGTTCAAACATTTGAATTTATTAATTGTTTAGATATCTAAGTAACACATTTTATTTAAATTTATTACAAAAAGTACTATATATATATATATATATTAAAATGTTTATAAATTAAAATCTGAACAAACAACAAATAATTTAATAAAATAATTTGATCATTTCGATGACGGTCCAGTTCTGAAAACCTTATATTACTGTATATTGATAAATATTATAATGAAATATTATTTAATTCACATAAATATTAATAAAATGATATATAAATATTCATAAATCATTAAATATGTTGTACTAAAATAATTGTTAATACGATTATTTGAAGTTTGAACTACATTACATTCACGTAATAAAATATTTTTAATATAAAATATATATTTAGGTTCAATAATCGATTTGGTGTGGTCGAACAGATACATAACTCAGTCACCTGAGACCAACCAAGTTGTGTCAAGTTTTTTGACTATTTTAAATATCACCTAAAAAGTAATTCGATCAACCTGGTCAGTACCCCTATTCAATCACCAAGAAATTTTCTTATTTTCTTTAAATATATTTAATATTATGAAATAAAAATATTTTATGATTCATATAATAAATGTCTACACCAAATGATAGTATATAAAGATTATAAATTATATATCTAAAGATGAATTAATTATTTTTACTTTATGCATATTAATAAAAAATAAACATAGTAATTTTCAAAAATTAAGATTAATTGATTGATTAAGAGAGTTCGAAACGAATCGGTATTGATATTGTATATTTTTAGCGTTCAATATTTTTTTTAAAGGCACAAATATAAAGACCGAGATTTTAAAACTTTTGTTATATTTTGAATTGAGATTTTATAAATATAAAGACTGAGATTTTAATGTTGTTCGTTGTTTCTAAGAAAAAAATAAAAATAAAAACTTACACACTTAATAAATCTTCGTTGGATTTTTTAAATAATAAAATGAACTAAATCTCGAAATTTAAGGTAGCATTTAATGTTGTATGATTTTTAAAGAAAAAAATAAGAAAAATAATAAAACTTACTATTTATAGGCTGCATTAAATTCTGACCTATGTTTTTGCTACTATTTTTGGTAAAATGTTAATTCTTATTATATATATATAGATATTATTTTAAAGTTATGAAATTTACTAATTTTTAATTGAATTTAAAATTATTTTAATTATTTTTTATTATTTATAATAATGTATAATATAAATATATTATTATTATTATTATTATTATTATTATTATTATTATTATTATTTTTAATCTAATAATTCACATGGTTGATCTATTAATATAATTTATAACAAAATATATTATAATTTTTTATTTTTTTCTAATATAACAAATTACATAATTATTCAACAAATAACTCGTTGGTTTATCATTATAATATATAATAATATATTTGTAAATATTTTGATTTTTTTTCTAAGATAATAAATTACATAGTTCGAGAAATGATCTGTTTGTTTGTTATCATAATTTGTAACAAATATTAAAAATATTTTGATTTTTATTTCTAAGCTTACAACCTACAAATTCGACGGATGACTCGTTGATGTATCATAATTTACACTAATACATATTATAAATATTTTGATTATTTATAATCTAATAACTTTTCTATAAATGACCCAATATCTTGATCCTCAAAATAGTTTTTTACTTATATTTTTTTGATTTTTAAATCCATGGAGGATAAACATATCAATTTTAGATTATTTTATACTAAGTAGATTTTATTATATATACATTTATATTTTATAGTATGAGTAACTTGAGACTAATTCTTTATTTTTAAATTGATATGTATTAAATAATAAATTAAGTTCATTTTGTATATGCAATATTAACTAATAAACTTATTAATAATTTAGAAATATTTTTTTAGTTATAACATGAGTGTCAAATTGAAAATTGTAAAATGAAGTTTAATTTAATATTATATATTAGAATAGACTGAAAATGTTATCAAGTATTTAAAAATGAAATTACTTTAATACTTAATAAGAAATATGGAAAGAAAAGGAAAAAAGCAGACAGTGATATGGAAAATTTTCATCATTTTTTTTTCTTTTTCTCTTCATTTTTCTTATTAAGTATTAATGTCATTTCATTTTCTTAATCTATGCGTTTCTGAAAATATTTAAATTTCATATGTATTTTTTAATTTATAGATAATCATCCTTAGAGCGATTAATCTATAACCATATCCATTAACTTATATTTTTCAAATCAAATAAAAATCTATACTATGTTGAAATGAAATAATTGGCTGAAGATATTTGGAAAGTTCAATATTAAATAATTGATATCAATCACTAAAAATAAGATTAAAAATAAATTAGGTAGAAATAAAATAATTAATTGTAAACTTTTAAAAAGTTTAATCATAGATTTGGATCAATTATTGGTAATCAAATTACGTAAAATAAAAATTAAAGTCTCACTATGGATGGAAAAATAAAATTCCAAAAGGAAATAGAAAAACATGTAAAAAGTTTTTTTTATAAACAAATCTTATTTAGTTTTAAAATATTTTTTTGGCGGGAAAATCATACTATTTCTTTTGAAATACAAACCCTTTGATATAGATATAGATTTAATAAAAATAGTTCTGCTCCTAGCTTGCAGCATATAGACCTTCTATGCAGAGATATATGCATACAAGTTAAGGGAATTTACAAGTCAAATATTGTTGTTTTATTCCGTCTTAGAAGAGAAAAAATGTTTAGGATCCAAGAATAATTTCTGTTGATATTATCAGTGGGGACTTTGACTGAGTTTAGTTCCTGATATTGCTCACTAGGGATGTTTAGGTTATTCATTTGTTGAGCCCCCTAGACAATAACCCAATCTGCCTGCTTTTAGTCGGTCAACTTGTGTAGCCTTGTTTTGTTATAATTAGTAGGGTTTGTGTGTAGGTGATTCTTCATTCACCTCACTCTGTCAGAGGAAGCTTGCAGAGGGTTAAAATAAGAGAAAATTAAAGTGAAACAGTCTAGTGCTAGCAAAGCATCAACTTTTTAAGGTGTCTCTTTTGTTAATGTACTGCAGTAGTGGGCATGGCCTAATGCTTGCACTTCAGTTATTCTTTTTCCTTATTTGCATGGCTGGGGTGTAAAGGGTTGTGGTGTAGTGCTAAGAGGACAATTCATATGTTTGGGAATTTTATTTTATGCGTCTCTCCAATTGTATTTTGTGTCCCAATGTGCCATTGCTTGCAAAAATTCTAAAAAATCCACGAGTCACTGATTCTCATAGTTCCAGCAATTAATAATATTGAGTTATTGTTTTACTGGAAAAGTTGCTATCAATTATCATAATTTTGCACCGCATAACAAATGCACTATTCACTCTCTTGTTTTTCAAGTCGCTATGACAGTTTTACTAACAGAACTGCTACATAGACTATCATCATCACATATCCATTTCAAATGTTAATAAAACTAAACGAAATTTATTTTGTTATCCCAAACATTTTTCCCATTATTCTATTCAAAGATAAAAAGGAGCTGAACAAAAGTACCCTTACTTTCCTTTGATTTTGTATGCCTATTCCCTCCAAGCTCCTCAACTAAAACATGCCGCCCCTTTCTTTTTTTTTTCATATTGGTATATGGTCTGATACGAGTAAAAAAAATTGTTTAACATCATTGGAAACAAGATTCTGTTATATACTTAGTGACATGTAGGAAAGTTGTTCCAGAAGATCATTTACAGGTTCTATGCAGTGTGCATCTTTTTGAATACTCTGAACTTTGGATTTCATATTATGTTCAGGTACTTGATCAAATTCACCAACAGCCAATGTCACTTTCCTTATCTATGGTCTCACTTCCTGCTCAAGAATCGGTCGTTAACTCTTTTCCTGTGAAGACCCATCGAAAGACGGAAATGAAATCTGCAGATGATGTTTCACAGTATGTCTTCTCCTGCTTTTCTAATGTTCATTTTGTGAGAGTATGGAAATTAGAAAGTAAAATGGGGGTGATCAATACTTTGTTCGCGTTATGTGTGTATAATTATGCTTCAATTGGATGCATGAATTATATGTGGGAAGTAAGCACAGACAGGCTAGAAGAACTCAATAATCCAACTGTTCCTTTGGTGCTATTTTCTGTGCAGGTGTATTCAATCACCATCATTGAAATAGATCACGTATTAAAGTCTTGAGAGGCACCCCTCTTTCCTTTAATTTTTCAATGAAACTCTAATTATCACTTCAGATTCTGAATAATTATGTTAAATGATGTATCTTTACTAATTCAAGGTATGCATCAATCTTTTGCAGTCAGACAAACAAAAACAAACATAAAAGACATAATAAATTGATTATCCTGCATAAGGAATGGAATTCTTTAGAAATTATCATTCCATGGTGGTGAACTATTAGTTCCTTTGGTTTCATTATCTCGATTCATGTTCGTGTGTGTGTGTGTCAAAACACTTAGAAATGAAAATAGATGTACCCTACACATGGCATTTCACATTTCTCTCCGGAAGAATCACAATAAAATGCATTTTGTTTTTGAACCTATATTGTAAACTTGCAATCTGACCCAATGCAAATATATTTCATTATATACTTAGACCACTTAATTTCATCAACTGCAACATGATTGTTTGATGCTACTATTGATCAGTTAAGATTGAAATCTTTCAAGGTCTTAGGACAGAAGAAACTTACATCATCTATTGGTTGTATCATGTAGGATAACAAAACCATCTTTTAAACATTGACCATAGTTCGAATGTTAATCATGAAACTGTTGCATAGGTGCTATATATGCCTGGCCGAGTATGAAGATGGAGATGAAATACGAGTTCTGCCATGTCTCCATGAGTATCACATGTCATGTGTGGATAAATGGCTTAAAGAGATACATGGGTATGCAAACGTAGCTGCATTCTATCTTTGATTTTTATTTTCCCTTTTCCATTCGAGCATTTCTGATTAATTTTAAAATCTTTTTTGGGGTTGCAGTGTGTGCCCTCTCTGCCGAGGAGATGTTCGTGAGGGTTTCATAGAGGACTCTATTTCTAACTGAGGTTCTTTCAGTTGACCAATTATTGTAAATAATTATTTGTTAAAGATGGCCCCGAAGAGCTGTAACTTCACGAAGTAATAACACGTAATCGAAAATCTTTTTGATTTAGAGGAAATTAGCTAGTGCAAGAAAATACAGAAAAAGAATTGCAGTACATGGAAATATATGTATGGTTGACAATCAGAAGTGTAATGGCTTTCAGGCACGGGTCGATATTGATACACATCATAGGTTAGAAACAATAGACTGATCAATAGTACTTTCCGCCTTACCTGGTGATTTTGAGTGCCTTTGATCCCAGATAGTGGCGATGGGAAATTAGATTTTGTTCTTTTTATTTTTTGCACGTCTGAGGTTAGGCCTTATAAAGTTGAGTGACATTTGTTCTTGAAATATGCGCATCTTTCATACCTTCTTCTCTTGAAGTTTTTTCTTTTCTCTCTTTAAATATCAAATTTAGAAACAAAATAGAAAAAAATGTACACTGAAATTTCTCACCTATCAACAATGACATTAAGATTAAGATGTGTCTAATGTCATGTCTCAAAATCTTGTAACTTTGTCTATAATTTCTTCCCACATCACCTGATTGCATATTAATTTGTCCAACCGATGGGTGTGAAAGATCCAAACTGGTACTGTTATTTGCACATCATTTTTTTTTTTTTTTT